CTCCCGCCCCAGGCATGTGCACCAGGACATATGCAGTCTCTTTACCACATCCAACCAAATTAAAAAAATTAATTAGTATCTAATACCCAATCCATGTTCAATTTTTCATGATTTCCTCAAAATATCTGTTCAGTTATTTGTTCCAAGTCTGGACTCGAGAATGTTCCACACTCTGAATCTGGTTGATAAGTTACCTTTAAGTCTCTTTTGAACTAAGGCAGTTCATTTTTCTCCCTCCTTACCATGCCACTCATTTACTGAAGAAACTTGGCAATTTGTCCCATAGAATTTTCCACATTCTGATTTGGCCAATTCGTGACCTTCACATACTACTCACAAGTTTTTAAACTCCTTTTATTTCCTATAAATTGGTAATTAGATCTGGAGGTTAAATTAGATTAAGATTCAGTGTTGGGAAATATAACTTAGGTAGTACTTCCTACTTCCTATGGCATCACATGAGGCATATTAATACCATGTTGTTCCAATTTAGTGTTAAGATTGGCCAACTGAAGTGTTGTCAACCTTATTGTTATCTTCTGAAATTCCCAATAACCCATTTATTATGAATTGTTGCCAATTCCATTATTTTATTAAATGATGCCAAATGTAACTTTCTAAGTCTGTCATTTCTGAACCTCCTCTTGCCAACTATTTGATTACAGCTTGTACAGAAAAATCATGATAAATACTTGGTTCTGTTCCTTACCAAAGGAAATTTGGTTCCTTACCAAAATTCTGTTCTGTTCCTTACCAAAATTTCAGAATATGCTAGTACTCTGGCAAACTCCATAACCCCCCCCTCCCCCCCTTTTTTTTTTCATTTTGAATTTAGGCAGTTTTACCTACACAGTTTCAACTCATTGCAATAGTTTCTGATGTTTAACTGATCCTATCTTTGGTCAGTTCCTTTAGGTTAATGATCCTGTAGTCTTTGATAGCTTTATTGCTTTTAGGTACAATAAGACATTTTATGATAATTATATATACATTTTCTACTGTTGACCTGTCTTATGCCATTTCTCTAAGGAGAACTTTTTCTTTTTATAGAAAATGGAATTTGAAAACTACAGTCTGGATACATGGGCAACTCATAGCTTCTAGGTCACTAATGTTTTTAAACCCTTTAGTAGGGGTGCCTGGCTGACTAAGTTGGTAGAGCATGCAACTCTCAATCTCAGGATCATGAGTTCAAGCCCCACATAGGGCATGGAGCCAACTTAAAAAAATAAATAAACCCCTTAGGTAGAAAAATAATACCAATATTACCACTAACAAAAGACTAATAAAGGCAGTTTAGATTTCTTCATATTTCTCTTTGTGCTTGAGATACAGAATTATCTTTGAGATATTCTCCTAATGGTAAGTCAAAATATTTTAACACCATTTGAAATTATTATTCTTTATGTTGTTATACCAGAACATGATGTAGAATCAAATCCACTGGTTTTGATACAGGTTTATTTTCCTTTTTGACTTAATTTTTAAAATAAAAGCTGATATGTAAAATATCTACATGGATCCAAAGTCAAAACAAAAAGAAGGTATAACCAAAGATAAACCTTTCACCCTTGCCCTCCCCTGTTGTTTCATCTTGAGATTCCTTTTTTTTTTTTCCTCAATGTGTATTTATTTTTGAGAGACAGAGACAGAGTGTGAACAGGGGAGGGGCAAAGAGAGAGGGACACAGAATCTGAAGCAGGCTCTAGGCTTTGAGCTGTCAGCACAGAGTCTGATGTGGGGCTCAAACTCATGAACCATGAGATCATGACCTGAGCTGAAGTCGGACACTTAATCTACTGAGCCACCCAGGCGCCCCGAGATTTCTTTTTTAAAGTACAGGTATATATAGTATCCTCCTCTTCTTTCACAAATATTAGTATAATAAACATATTCTGCACTTACCTCTTTTTCATTTAAGATACTCTGAAGATCACTCCCTAGAAAAACACAGATGCACAATATACTCCACTGTACATTCATATGATAGTTAATTCACCCAGTCGATTGCTGGACATCTAGGTTGTTTCCAATTTGCTGCATTTACAAATCATGTTTTTAAAAAATTCCTTAGTGTATACCATATTTTGTAATTTTATGAGTGTATCTTTGGGATAGAAATAAGGGTGCTGGTCTTATGGTAAATGCATGAGACTACACCTGGACATTGCTTAATTCCCTCCTATATGGACTGTACTATATTTTTTCATTTTCATCAGCAATTTCAGAGCTCTTATTTTTTCAGTCTTGACAATAGAGTATATTAATACCCTTTAGGATTTCTGTGCATCTGGTAGGGATGAAGTGGTATCTCAATGTAGTGTAACTTGCATTCTCATCTCAAATTTTAGAATCTTTAAGGATATTAGTCTGTGATATACTGGCAAATATCTCCAATTTTTCATTGTCCTTTATCTTTAACATGGAGTCCTATAAAAATTATTTACTTTTTTCTTTATTTCTACTTGGATTTTTGAGTCATACTTCTTAATATCTCCATTCCAGGGTTATAAAGAAATTCACCCATGTAGTATTTGCAAAGTTTCTTTCTGTTTTATTTTTAGTTTTTACATTTAGATATCTGGATTTATTGGGAATTCATCCTACTTTACACTGTCAGAGAGGAAACTGATTTTTTTCCATAAATTTCATCCAATTGTGCTAATACTAATGATTAAAAAATTCTTTCCCAAAATGAATCTAGCAGAATGGTTCCTGCAAAGAAAGGTGGTTAGGGAATGACTAAAGAATTTTTGTTATCTCTATGGTAGACTAGAGAAGACATTATCAAAATTCACAAACATACCAATGGAAAGGGGTTCAAGAAACACGTACCTCAGGCATTCAAGGAGATCCAGGAATTCACAATGAAGGAGACAAGAGCACCAGATATGCACACTGATACTAAACTCAACACAGAAGTCTAGGCCAAAAGAAAAAGGAATGGCCATAGTTATCTGTATATGGACGTCCAGAAAGCTGTTACATTTCTCAATGTAATCATCACCTTAACAAAAATAGTCAGCATGAATGAAAATGGCTGGTTTATTACAATAAAGTAATATAACAAAAAAATTTCACTTTCCCCACATGAGTTGAGAAATTCCACAGAAGACAATAATTTCAGAGGGAAGTACGTCCCTAATACTGTTTAACTACTGTTAAAGAACTGAATTATGTGCTACATACATGTACATAAACTCAATATTCTTTAACTTATGTAATACTAAAAGGTATCAAGAAAATACTCTTAGAATAAATTAAGTGCTGAACTGGTAAAGTACATCTTCATCAATGATACACCTTGCTGTTATGCATAAACTACAGAATTATCACCTATCCAAGGTCAGAGTTTAAACATTCTGGGTAAACATCATTTGACTATTGTATTAGTTTTTTGTTTTTGTTTTTAGAGAGAAAGAGGGAGTGAGCACAAGTGGGGGAGAGGCAGAAAGACAGGGAGAAGAGAATCCCAAACAGGCATCGCACTTTCTGCACAGAGCTTGATGTGGGGCTTGAACTTCTGAACTGTGAGATCATGACCTGAGCCAAAGACAGATGCTTAACTGACTGAGCCACCCAGGTGCTCCTGTATTAGTTCTTGTCATGTATGTTCATGAGTAAAATTCTTCTGGAATTTGTTGTTCAAGGGCTACTCCACATCTAATTTTGTTATCAGAATTACGTTAGTCTTTTAGCATCTGCTAGCAATTTTTCCATAGGATTTTGTTTCTTCAGGGAGCAGCCTGTACTCCTACATGAGTTATAAAGATTATTTTTTCTAACTTAAACTTTTTGGCCCCTTTTAGTTACTCTTGAAATTTAATAATTTATTTTCCTAGAAAACAAACTATATTCTATTTAAAATTTGTTTCTAGTAAGGTTTATATCTCTTCATATTGTCATTAAAAATACCCTCTAAAACATGTACCACATTTCTCCTTTCTTATGATAATGTTAAGGCATTGCTACCAAGAAACATTTTGACTTAAAATAAAAAACCTTCTGTATTGTTATTTATTCTATGAATTTTTCTTTATTTTCATTAAATAAAGCTTTCCATCAATTCAGAGGCACCTGGGTGGCTCAGTCGGTTAAACATCTGACTCTTGATCTTGGCTCAGGACATGATCTCATGGTTCGTGAGTTTAAGCCCCACCTTAGGCTCTGCTCTGGCAGTGCAGAGACTGCTCGGGATTCTTTCTCTCTCCTACTCTCTCTGTCCCTCCCCTGCTCACACATACTCTCTCAAAATAAATAAACATTAAAAAAAATTAAGAAAAAAACACATTTCTATCAATTCAAATGCCCATTGGGGCATCAGCTCTTACTTTAGCTTGTTAAGTAATCATTATTTAATTTGACAAATACTTGGACTCTACAATATGACAGGCACTGTTATAAGTGCTGGAAATACAGTGGTGACAAGAAGTAAACTTCCCTCAATTTTCTTTGTTATATACATAAGAGTAATTTACATCGAGAGCTGCCATGGTCATGTTCATAGGATTTGACATATAGGAGTTTTGTTATCATTCACATCTAAATAAGCCTGTAATTTCACTTTTGATTTGCTCACTACTTTGATAATTTATAAATGTAGTGTTAAATTTCCAAGAGATCAGAATTCATTTGGCTATTTTCTAATTTCTGAATTTCAGGGGCACTTGGGTGGCTTAGTCAGTTAAGCATCTGACTCTTGATTTTCGCTCAGGTCATGATCTCACAGTTCATGAGATTGAGCCCCACATTGGGCTCTTGCTGACAGTGGGGAGCCTGCTTGAGATTCTCTCTCTCTCTCTCTCTCTCTCTCTCTCTCTCTCTCTGCCCCTACCCTGCTCATGCTTTCTCTCTCAAAATAAATAAACTTAAAAAAAATAAATTGTCATTGTGGTGATAAAATGGATATGACATTTGGCTTTAGAAATCTGTTAGGGACAAATCATTTCTAAATGCCTTTAAAAACAAAACCAAAAAAAAAAAAAAAAAAAAAACACTGGTGAGCATTCAACAACTCCACTTTCATTAAAACCATAAGGCTTTCTTTATAGTATGAATTTTTTTATGCAGCAAATGAATTTAATACTGATTCAAACCTTTCTTCCCTTCCATTTGACTGGTTTTTCTTCAGAATTAGCATCCTGCTGTTCAATAAGACACACATATAGATGGCATATTTGTCTACATTCATTATATTGTTAAGGTCTTCCTCTCATAGAAGCTGTCTAACACTAATATTAATGATGGCTATTAAGTCATTGAAGTCATCAAGCTCATTTAACCCTTGTAATCAAATAAGGAAACACAGATTCAAGTTACTTTCCAAAAAAATACAAAGATAAGAGGTGTTGAAACTAAGACATGCCAAATAAACTGCATGACACAGCTCAAGGCTTCCCAAGATTAATTACGTAACAGAAATTCACCTTTGGTATAATTTTGTGGAACTCTAACAAAATTTAATAGGAATGGAAGGTTTCCCTATGTGAGTTAGATTTAAATTCTATGCAGAGTAGTATCAATGATGTGGAGAATGCTTTTAAGAATGATTCAAGAGAATCACAGTGTCATCTTTTTCATAGGGTTTTACCCTGATATTCCAAATGGAAAACCAATCAGTAAATGCTTTCCTATATTAATATAGATTGTATTATGAATTCTCTGCTATTTAGTGTGTTGTGTGCTCTGTCAAATGTTCTTCCAATATTACTTATACTTGTGAGTTCCTCAAAAGAAGGAATTAACTGACATCAATTAAGGAGTTATGAATAAAGACTTCCTATATTTTTATATTATAAGACCTCACAAGAGTGAAATAAGATGAGAGCTTGGAGAAAATGTCTCAAAATTTTTACATTCATAGGATTTCTCAAAAGTGTAAATATCCTGATGTTGAGCAAAGTCTGAGTCCTGACTAAAGGTGTTCCTATAGTCTTTCCATTGACAGAGATTCTCACCATTGTGAATTTTCTGTTCAGTAAAATATGGATGGGGACTAAAGATCTGGCTACTTTCTTTACATTCATATGATTCTGTATCAGTATGAATCTTCTTATGTCGTGTAAGCTGTGAACCCCAGATAAAAGATTTCCCACATTCTTTACATACATAAGGTTCCTCACCAGTATGTATTCTCTGATGTCGAGTAAGTTGTGAACCCCAGAGAAAGGCTTTTCCACATTCCTCACATTCATAAGGTCTCTTTCCAGTGTGGATTTTCTGATGTCGATTAAGTTCTGAACCACGAAAAAAGGTCTTTCCACATTGCTTACATTCATAGTTTCTTTCACCAGTATGAATTTTTTGATGCCGATTAAACTCTGAGCCATGACGAAAGGTCTTTCTACATTCCTTACATTCATAGAGTTTCCTCTCATTATGAATTTTCTCATGTTGAGCAAGATAGGAGGCCCAAATAAATGTCTTCCCACATTGCTTACATTCATAAGGTTTCCTACCATTATGAATTCGTTGATGTCTAGCAAGGTGTGAACTCCAGATATAGGCTTTTCCACATTTCTCACATTCATAGGGTTTCCTACCAACATGAACATTCTGATGTTGAGCAAGATTTGAACCACGAATAAAGGCTTTTCCACATTCCTTACATTCATGAGATTTCTCACTAGTATGAGTTCTCTGATGTTGAGTTAGGTGTGAACCACGAGTAAACGCTTTTCCACACTGCTTACATTCATAAGGTTTTTCACCAGTGTGAATTCTCTGATGTTTAGTAAGATGTGATCGCTGACTAAAGGCCTTTCTACATTCATTACATTCATAAGGTTTTTCACCGGTATGAATTCTCTGATGTCGTGTAAGATCTGAGCCACAACTGAAGGCTTTCCCACATTGTTTACATTCATAAGATTTCTCACCAGTATGAATACGCTTATGAACACTAAGTTGTGAATGAAATCTAAAGGACTTCCCACATTCCTTACATTTAAAAGGTTTTTCACCAGTATGAATCCTCCTGTGACCAGTAAGACTTGAACGCAAACTAAAAGCCTTCCCACATTCTTTACATTCATATGTTTTCTTGGCAGAGTGTACTGTCTGATATTGAGCAAGTTCTGAATCAGAAAGAAAGGTCTTCTCATATTCTTTATCTTCACAAAATCTCTCACCAGTGTGAATTAATTGATGTTGATCACAGTCCGAGCCAGAACAAAAGGCTTTCGCACACTCTTTAAATTCATTCAGTTTCTTTCCTGTATCAAGTCTGTGAGCTGTGTGATGGTTAAAAGTGGACATTTTTTCATCGGTGAGTATAACTTGCTTTAAACATTCTTCCTGATTTTCCTGTTGTGTTTCAAACTGACCTTTGCTTTCCCAATCAGCCCTAAAACATGAATATTCAAGGTTGTGTTTTTTACAGATTTCCAATTGAGATAATTCTCTCTCAAAAGTAACACTTTTTTGTGATAACTCCTTGGTTTGACATCTGAATGGCATGTCTGAAAGATAAGAAGGTAAATTCCTACTGTTTTACTGTTCAAAAAGAAATAAAACCTCCAATGTAGATATAAGAAGTAAATCTTAAAATACATAAAGCACACAAGAAGTGAATGGCTTAAGAAATTCTCAAATTCTGGGTGATATGAAAAAAAGGTGGAAAATAAATAGAAATTTAAGAGAACTAATAAAAGTTGAGGTGGGTGTTTCAATATATAAAAGCTTTGTTTTAGGGGCACCTGGGTGGTTCATTCGGTTGAGCGTGCAACTTTTGATTTCAGCTCAGGTCATGATCTCATGGTTGTGAGACTGAGTCCTGCATTGGGCTCCATGATGGGGGTGGAACCTGCTTAAGATTCTCTCCCCCTCTGTCCTTCCCCTACTCTCTCTCTCAAGGAAAAAACAAAAAAAAAACAAAACAAAAAAAAACCCAAAACCTTTGTTTTCGTCAAATTCACCTGAGCAATTCAATTTAAGAAAATAATTATTCGGGTACCACCCAATCATGGAAAGCCAATGTAAAGATAAAACTGTTTCACTCAGTATGATAAATCAACCTTCAGCATATGTCAGGCATTAAAAAAATAATTCTGTAAAAAATACACTATAAAACAAACAAAAAAAGTGGAGTAGGGGGAATTTAGGATGGAATAAAGGATAATATTACAAAAACCAGGTACCAGGAAGCACAACTGGGATCATTTAGTCATGTGAGAACAACATAACACATCGCACTGTCTAATCCCTTCCATGTTTACTGAATATCCTGCTTCCATATTACTTTCTGTACAAATAGGATGAAACAAGAGCATATCTAAACTACCTCAAAGACAAATATGCAGAATGTAATTACAGCTACTTAATTATGCTTCAATTTGCCTTTGCACACTTAAAGACTTCACCCTGCTCATTTCCTCCACTGTATAAAACCAAGCCATCTTTTTGTCACATGACTTCAACCAAGGTGCTTTTGTTTTCTTTATTCTTGAGTTTATAGTATTGCTCAACCATTCTGCTTTATGCTTTCAGGCCCTTCCAACAGGTCTTTTCTTCCTTTCCCTTCTATCCAAGGCCACTGAAAATATTTCACAAAATATTTACAAATTTCAAATACTATGCAAGATACTACAATGAATATCTTACATAATTCCGAGCTTAAAAACAGTAATGTTGGGAAATAAGAGTATCAGTCTTAAATGTGGGAAGTTGTCTGGTCTAGAGTTAACAGAAGAGCAGGAACTCAGTAACACAGGTATGTTGCATTTAGGTTAAAGGACATAATTATGGGTAATAGTTCAAAAAGGAAAATACTTTGAGAAGTTTTGTCAAGGGCAAGGAGTCTGGCATGAGCTAAGAATAAGTAGGACCCCTGTGTGACTCATTTTTGATATGTGCTAGGATTTGATGAAATTGTCATATGGTTATGCTACAAATTTTTCTTGGGAGGAGAGAGGTGAGAACTGAGCAAGTACTCTAGCAGTGACTGAAGAAGTTGAGAGGCAGCTCAGTTACATGTATAAGTAGTAGTGTATTGTAGCGGAAAAAGGACAGACCACAGTTTCAGGCTCAGTTCTGTTCACTAACACCATCTTTAGGTTCTGAGAAAATTACTGAGCTTCACTGAGCTCTTATTTTTCCATATGATAAATAGGGACATTAATATATTTTTTAAAGAGATCTATTGAGAGGGTTGGGAAAACATACTATTTTTTTTTTTTCAACGTTTATTTATCTTTGGGACAGAGAGAGACAGAGCATGAACGGGGGAGGGGCAGAGAGAGAGGGAGACACAGAATCGGAAACAGGCTCCAGGCTCTGAGCCATCAGCCCAGAGCCCGACGCGGGGCTCGAACCCACGGACCGCGAGATCGTGACCTGGCTGAAGTCGGATGCTTAACCGACTGCGCCACCCAGGCGCCCCAAAACATACTATTTTTATAAAGTGCCTAACACAGAAAAAGCACCACACAAGTAGTACATGATGATGATGATGATGACGATGATGATGACAATGATGATGGTGATTAACGATTAGAGAAGAAAAACGGAAGGGACTGGAAATGGTTTAACAGTATCTCACACATAAACAACTACTAGAAAATGATTATTATTACTGTGCTAATTATTACAGGCAAGGCATTTAAGATAAATGAAATATCAAATGAATATAAATCAAAGACATTAAAATAAATTCCTCACATAATAGAATGTGATGAGAAAAGTTACTTTGAGATGCTGCCTAGGCATCTTACAGTATGACAACCCTGCCCACACCCAGAACCTCAGCATTTAGATTAAGATCTGAGCTTAGGATTCCCATCATGAGTTCCTGCGTGGTTTTTCCCAGTCACTTTAAAAATAGCCACATAGCATTGAGCCCACAAAAAGTTAGTGACCTCAACCCCAACTACCTTCTAAGTAAGGTGCTTGCTACTCTGCTTTCTTATCTCCCACTTGCTCATGACCTGGGATGGAGGACTGTCCTTCCCACAGCTCACTGTGTGCCCCTGCCCCAATTTCCACAATTCATAAGTAATAAATCTTGTGATTTAACTTCCCTTGTGTAATTGTATTAAACCTGTGCCTTCAATCACAATGACTCCAGCATTTTCACTTCTCCAAAGTAGAAGCTTGGATGCTGAGGGAGCTACCTGCCAACCCTGTGTGGGTGGCTTGTGCCTCCTCATTAAGCAGGTCACGATCTGCATATTCTTAATTTAATAAACAAGCTATGGGACACCCCAAACACAGCACAAACATGAAAGTTAGAAATAATGATCCTACTACATTTTTACTCTGTATCACCCTCCGATTTTTCTCACTTACATTTACATTCCAGGTCCTTAATTATGACTCTTTATACATCTCTTCTTGGTGAAACCTAACTTGCTGCTTATCCTGAGCCTGAACTAAACAAGTGAACACAGCTGGAAAAAATAAAATAGTGCCTACTAGAATCACTTCTAATTTATATTAAAAAGAAAAAAAAAAAAACCCATGAGTAGGTTCTCAGCCATGTCAAGAATTTTTACATATTTCTGGTCAAATAGTATCTCTACATATAACCCAGTGGAAGACAATCAAGGACTCAGAAACAACACAGAAACTTAAGATTATGACAGAAGGAATACGATTATTCCACAAGTGGTGTTTCACTATAAATGTGTGGGGAAAAAATTATAACTCTTCTTTATACTATATACAAACAAAAACTACCAGTAAATTAAAGACATCAATGGCAAAAAAAACTTTAAAACTTATACAAGAAAACAAACATCTCTAACCAAATCTCTATGTGTTGTCAAACTTACTGGTAAAATATTTTAGATGAACAAAATAAGAAAATATTATGACATTATTTGATATACTGAAAAGGCTCAGCCAATTTTTACTATTCAGATTGTACTGGCACTAGCATTTGGCTTAGAGACTGATAGAATTTATGACATCTCAGGGCTAAGGTGGCAGAGATTAGTATCCAGGGTCTGTCTGCATTCCTCATGCTGTTATAACTGAAAGGCTAGAAATAAGAAACTTGAGTAAAACAGAGGCAGACCTACACAGGAACTATAGTTCAGTTTCAAACTATCTAAGGAGGGTGATGGATTAAGATATCAACCAAAATGTTAATGCCTTCAGGTACTTGAGAGAAGCAAATAGAAATCCTCTATAAAGGAAGGTATCCTGGGCATTAGTTCTACCATTTTGAAAACACTGTCTGGCACAAAATTAAATAAGTAACCAGACAATATGAATGTAAACAGACCACAGAAACAATAGTAGAAATACACCTAAAAGCACTCTAGATATTGGAGTTATGAGACAGGGTTTAAAAGTAACTATGCTCAAAAAGCTAAAAACAAAATCATTTTAGCAGAGAACAAGAAACCAATACAAGTAAAAAAAAAAAAAAAGAAAGAAACCAATACAAGTCAAAAGAAAAACTCCAAGAGAAAAAGGTTGGAAAAGTCCTAACAGAAGCATTATGACAGATTCAGTTAGAATATTAAACGTAAATGTAAATGGAAGCCTAAAGGGAGAAGAGAGGAAGAATGGGAGAAGCAGCAATATTTGAAAACATAATGGCTGAGAATTTTCAGAACAAATTCCATGAACAGGTGAATGAATGAATAAAGTATAGCCATACATGGAACACTACAGAGAAATAACAAATAAGCTATTGATACATGCAACCACACAGATAAATTTCAAAATCATGCTAGCAAAAGACACAAGGCTAGCAAAAAGGAAAAAAGTATATATTGTATAACAATTTATGTAACACTCTAGAGCATATAAACTAATCTAGAGTTACAAAAAGCAGGTAGTGATCTCTCAAAGATGGGAGTCGAAAGGGGAATGAATGGCAAAGGGGCACAAGGAAAATCTGGCAAGAACTGAAGTATATTTTTCTTGATTATGGTGATTATTTCATGTATATAGCATAATGTCAGAACAGACCAAACTGCAGATTTCAAATATATGCAGCTTATTATTTTCCTGTTTTATCTTAAGGTGTAAAGCAAAAATTTTAGGACCAAAATAAAACTAAAGTCTTAAAAAAAATAAAGATAAATATTCTTCTGGCCACCCTAACTAGGTATTAGTGTATTAGTGTTTCTTTTATGTGAATGCCCACTCACACCAAAAATACAAAATATTAAGCCAACAAATGGTAAGGATAGATCAAGCACACAGCAGACATTTATCAAATAAATACAACCAGTAATTCAGTAAACAAGAAATATCCATCCTCCCTAGAAATCAATAGCCTTTAAGTTATTAAATTATTAGAAGTCTCTACTTAAAAATAACTCACTTGGGGGCACCAGAGTGGCTCAGTCAGTTGAGCATCCATCTTTGGCTTAGGTCATGATCTCACAGTTAGTGAGTTTGAGTCCCACATCGGGCTCTGTGCCAACAGCTCAGAGCCTGAAGCCTGCTTCAGATTCTGTGTCTCCCTCTCTCTCTGCCCCTCCCCCTGCTTGCACTCTGCCTCTCTCAAAAATAAATAAACATTAAAAAAAAATAAAAATAGCTCATTTGTAGTGAGACTACGTTGAAACTGATACCATCCCTGACCTTCATGTGAACCAATGCCCTCTGATCCTTCTGAAAACATAAGTATTAATTTCCACAATATACAAATACATTCAAGTCATAGCTACCTCCCAGATACCCATGTGTTTACCATGAATCTGCTATTTGTTTCCAAACCTGTTTATACCAACTGTTTTTGACATTTTAACTTGTATATGTTAGTATCATTATATAAAGAAATATGAAAGAAAGATTGTTTTTTATGAAAACTAAGTGAATACTCTAAAAAAACTCATTTAAGAAGGCTACAAATTTTATTTTAGTAGTTTGGAGTCAATTATAAAGACTGGGGGGAAAAGATTCCACAGTCAGATTAACTAAATTCTTATTCAAAACAGAAACCAAAAAATTAGGAGAATGAATTACTAGTGTGGTTAATATAAGAATAGGCAGAACTCCAATTAGGGAGAGCATGCCCTGGCCCTATAATGAAACATGGGTAAAATGGTTATGGGTTGTAAATAAATATAGTTTAAGGTATTCACATAATTTTCTATGATTTAAAGTAACTTTTCCAATGACAAATCAATTAACTATCTTAAATTAATTGGGCACATTGTATTCTAACTTTAAATCCTTTGGCCAAGGAATTTCATATCTGAGACACAACCATCATCCAATGTGGAAAAAAACCCATGAATAATTGATGTGTACTAAGAATTATAACTTTAGTAACAAGAAATACAGAATAACCTTAATATATAATAGTACATTTATAGTATGTGAAAATTTTACATTTATAGTATGGAAAATTTTATAATTTAACCAGAATTTTAAAAGCACATAACAGTGTTTAGGAAATAAAAATATAAAATAAAATTGCATAGATCTTAGGGACCAGAATATGTTACAAAAGCTTTTATTTTGAAATATGGTTGACCCTTGAACAATGCAGGTTTAAACTGCATGGATCCACTTATATGTAGATTTTTTTCCAGTACTGTAAATTAACTTTTCTTGCATATGATTTTCTTAATAACATATTCTTTTCTCTAGCTTACTTTAAGGAAGCATTATATTACACATGTAACATATAAAGTATGTGTTAATTTATGCTATTGGTAAGACTTCCAGTCAACAGTAAGCTGCTAGTAGTTAAGTTTTTGGAAAGTCAAAATTTATACATGAATTTTTGACAGTGCAAGGGTCGGTGCCCCGAAACACCCTGAGTTGTTTAAGGGTCAACTGTAATTATAAGTTCACAAGAAGTTGCAAGAGTACCCCTTACCCAGTTTTGTCCAACGAATACATCTTACATAAAGCACAATATCAAAACCATGAAACTGATATTGGCACAACGCATATGTATAGTTATATCATTTCATCACATACATGGATTCCTGTAAACACCACCACAATCAAGACACAGACCAAGACCATTACTACACCGATTTTACCTCTTGTGCTCCCTCTTTATAGCCATAATCACCACCATCACTCTCCCATGCTCATCCCTAACCACTAGCAACCACTAATATGTTTTCAATGGTTATAATTTAGTGATTTCCAGAACATTCTATAAATGGATTCATTTGGCATGTGACCTTTGGAGTTGGCATTTTTCATTCAGCACAATGTCCTTGAGATTCATTCAAGTTGTTGCAGTATCAATAGTTCAGAAAAAGAACAATTTTAAAACACAAAATATAGTTTCTGGAATTTACAAACATGAGCCCAGTAAGGAAATAAAATTTATTTTCTTTCCTCGGTATTTCAAATAAAAAAGAAGCTCCAAGAGTATGTTATTTCAATCTGAGTCTTGCTCATAATAGAAAATTCATTAATTAACCTCAACTTGCCAAATATACCCCTTGTTTCCTCTTGACTGCTAGGACTTTTATGACATTGCATTCTCTTTGTTGTCCTCCATTAGCCTTAACCTCTCTTCTGCCACTTCCTATTCACTATAGCCAGAAGCCATTTTCCCCTACATTCCTGATTTTCAACTAAGCAGCCTATTACATCTTCTCTTAATTTAGAGCCTATTTTGCTTAAATTTATGGACATATTCCAGTCAAAAAAAAAAAAATACAAATTTCTTAATAGATTACTCTTTGTAGGTAGTAACAAATAGGTTACTCTTTGTTAACCCTTCTTATCCTAAAATGAAATTGGAAAATTAATAGATGTTAGTTAAAAGAATGAATTAATGAGTGCAAGAAATACAGAACCAAGGAGAATTTAGGCAGAGTAAGAAAAATACAAGATTGAGTAGGGAAAATTAAAAAAAAAATTTTTTTTTAGAAATTTACAAATATCTAAATGAAGACATTTACAAATATCTAAATAAAAAAAAAGAAAGAAACTCAATTAAAGCATTAATAAATTGACTACTGGAGAAAAAGAATGACACCTTTTTATAATATGAGGAAAAGAAAATGAAGAGGACTGAATTGGGAGTGGAATTTGGAGGTGAAGAGAAGGGTCATTTGGAAATTCATGCTGAAAAGGTTACTTTTGGCTCTAGGTCTCAGGCTTTTGTCCATGGGTTTTTATTCCCTGAGGAAGAAACCTGAGACCAATATTTCAGAGATGGTGCTGCCTCAATAAACATCTGGGCTCTTAGCTGCAATGATGGTGTTCCTGTGCTGGCTCAACCATCACTCACCTGGGCAATGTCCTCTTGTCTCATCCTGTAAAAATATCCAGGGTTCTTTTCCCTTCTCCAGTAAAGAGAATACATCTGGCTGATAAATGCAAAGTCCTGATTAGAGATAAGAAACAAGAAATGACCAAATGGTAGAGGTTTCAAAGTTTGCATCTAGTCCCTTAGTTATGAAGGAAGAAAAACACTTATAGGAAGAGCAAGAAAAAAGCATAAAGTATTTCCAAAGGATGGAGAGGGTGGATGTTCCCACTGAGGATCACTAGAACCAAATTTACAAAGTGTAAGCCATTTTTCCAGAAAGAAGTCAGACATTCCCCTAGACACTTGAAAGACAATTTAAAAATTCACAATGTAGAAAGCAGAAAGTTCTGGGGCCAGTTTGTGAATCTTACCCAGTGAGATCATGTTGCTGTAGTTCTCCAACATCACATCTCTGTACAAATGTCTCTGTTCCAAGTCCAGGCACTCCCACTCCTCTTGAGAGAAGTCTACAGCTATATCCCTGAACATCATCAACTGCTGAAACAACAAACCCAAGCACCAATGGTGAAATTAAAAGAAATCTTTTAGGTAGAAGGGACACAAATGAAAAAGGGCACTGTAGGAAGTGGGACACTCACTGAGCAAAAAACTGAAGTTGGCTGCCTGTAGTATGGGGGACGGGGGGAAATGACATGGAAGCTGAATGCCTATATGTTCTTAAAATCTCCTGTTGTTCAGTCACAACATCCTTATGACCTTTCCGTGACAAATAGCAGACAACAGGATGACAGCCCAGAATCATGAGTTCTTTGTTGATACCACAGGGATGCCACACCAGGCTTAAATGACTAACTCCAGATTTATTATGTGCCAAGTTTCCCTTCCTCCTTAGGCTATTTTTAGTTGAATTTTCTATTAGCTGAAATTGAAAGGATTCTTGGAAGAGATACACTCCCTAACTGAGTATCATTTTCTGTGGAGAATACCATTTTCTGTGGGAATGTATAAAATCTCTGGGCTCTAGGCTAAGTAGTGACAATCAGCACATGTCTTATTAATATTAATCTCTCATTGATTTACTGGTCAGAGATCCCTGATCTCTCTGAACTTATTAGCCTTCCATCATACCCTCTATTTAAAAGCCATGATAAAGTGCCACATACTAAAATGAATACCAACCATTACCAACTCTCACCTTTAATAATCGATATATCCCATTCTACAGAGTAAATAAAAGCTTTCATGTAGTGTATCCTGTTTAGCCACTCAGTTCCACTTTGTCAAGCCACAGATTTGAAAAGAAAGTCTCTACTATTTCCTTTAAGGCAAAATATTTCTCCTCCTTCAGTGCTCTGTCAAAGTATTAGGATGCAGGAGGTGCCGAATGCCATGTTGGACAGAAGAGGGACACCTAGGGAAGGCAGTGGACTGTTTCCCAGCTATCACATACCACACTGAATAGTGACTTAAGCAAGCAGTTTAAGGATAAGAAATAAAAACGCTCATATGATGTGATATAGATGGTTATAATTTTTGGAAAGAGGCAATTCCAACTCACATGGGCCATGACTTAAAATTCTAAGACTCAATCAGTCTTCTAGATTCCTCTCCTGGTGAAGCACAGTCTTGAGAAAGCAGAGCTAGAGGGAAGGAATCGTGAGAGGTCAGGTTTTCCTCAGAGCTTTCAAATGGACTCAGAATTCCATTTTCTTCCCTGAAGAAAGGTCAGAGGGAGTCTGCAGAAATCCTGGCCCAAACCAAAATCCAAGTCCTCATTCTCCCTCCTCCTCTCTCTCAGTCCTAAGTAACCACTAATCTACTTTTTGTCTCTGTAGATTTCTCTATCCTGGACTTTCATATGAATGGAATCTTATAATATGTGAACTTACTATGACTAGTGTCTTTCATTTAGCATAATGCTTTCAAGGTTCATCCAAGTTGTAGCATGTATCAGTATTTCATTCCTTTCTGTGGCTGAATAATATTCCATTGTATGACCTAGATCACATTTTGTTTACCCATTCATCTGTTAATGGACATTTGGGCTGTTTCCACCTTTTGACTATTATAAATATGCTGCTCTGAACTTTCATGTACAAGTTTTTGTTTGAATACCCATTTTATGGTTTTCAGACTATGAGATTTACACTTCACCAATTAAATTTATTCCTAAACATTTTACGCTTTTTGATGCTATTGTGAATGGAACTATTTTCTTAATTTCATTTTTGGATTCTTCATTGCAAGTTTATAAATATACACTTGATTTTTATCTATTGATCTTGTATCCAAAACCTTTTTTTTACCCCAGGGGCAGGGGAGGGGCAGAGGAAGACAGAAAGAGTGAATTATTTTTTTAAATTTTTTAACGTTTATTTATTATTGAGAGACAGAGAGAGACAGAGCATGAGTGGGGGAGGGGCAGAGAGAGAGACATAGAATCTGAAGCAGGCTCTAGGCTCTGAGCTGTCAGCACAGAGCCCCACATGGGGCTTGAACTCACAAACCGCGAGATCATGACCCAGCTGAAGGGGGATGCTTAACCGACTGAGCCACCCAGGCGCCCCTAAGGGAAAGAGAGAATCTTTAACAGGCTCAGCAACCAGCACAGAGCCTGACCCTCAATCTCGCAACTGTGATATCACGACCTGGGCCGAAATCAGGAGTCGAATGCTTAACCAGCTGAGCCACCCAGGCGTCCTTTGTATCCTAAAACTTTTCTAAGCTCCTTTATTAGTTCTCATGGTTTTTCTGTATATGGATTCCTTAAGATTTTCTATATTTAAAAAATCATGTCATGTGTAAATAGAGAGTTTTATTTCTTTCCCAATATAGATGCTTTTTCTTTTTTCTTGTCTAACTGCCCTGTAAAATCTCTACAATATTGAATAGAAGTGGCAAAAGCAGCCATTCTTTTTCTTATTCCCGATCTTCGGGGGAAAACATTCAGATACTCACTACTAAGTATGGAATTTTTGTAGGTGCCCTATATCAAGTCAAGGAAATTCCCTTTAATTCCTAGTTTATAGAGTATTTTTATAATGAAAAGGTACTGGCTTTTGTCAAATGTTTTTTCTGTATCTATTAAAATGACCCTGTAATTTTTGGGTTTTATTCTATTTATGTAATGTATCACATTAATTGATTTTTGGATGTTCAGACAATGCTGGGATATATTCCACTTGGTCATATTGTATGAGTGCATTTATATGTTGCTGGATTTGGTTTGCAAGTATTTTGTTGAGGATTTTTAAACTCATTCTTATGAGATATGCTTTGCCTAGTTTTGGTATCTGGGTAATACTGGCCTCATCAAATAAGTTGGGGGATTGGCTGTATTCTTTAATTGCAGCAGAGAAGGCACTGGGGAACTCGGAACTGATAGTAGGAGTCCTCCTGAACCAGGTTACATTCTGAACAACAAAGAAAACCTGGTTGTTCAGAGGAACCATATTTTAAAGAAATTGTCTTCTACTGCAGTAACAGAGGAGGGAACTCTTGAGCAGAAGAACCTAAAAACTACCTTTTCAGGGGAAAGTACCAGTGACAGCTATTCTGAGATAATCTATCACATTCCAACAAACAAACAAACACACACAAAAAATTAGAAGCACTGTGTCCAAAGATATTGTTAGATATAAGTTTGAAATGAATGCCAGAATGCCCATCAGTATAAAGAAAACTGCCTAAAAAAAATCAGAGAATATTAGAAGTATTCCCTAACATTCCACTATGAGTAAAAAAATATTTGATGATACAATCACAGCTCTGAGGCAAGACTACATGCACAAATGTTACAATGATCTCAGGAATGGGGAAGAAATGATGAATAGACTATATACAAGGGTTAGTAGAATTCAAGTATGAAAGAGAACACAGGCAAAACCACTTTAGGAACAAAGAATAAACTACAAGAAGCACAAGGTATGACAAATATAGAAAGTGTAGCATGGACAAAGAATACAGAAATTAGTGAATGGAACAAAATGAAACAAAGAAAGAGATAACAATTATTGGAAGAAAACAATGAAAGTCAGAGACAATCCAACCTGTAACTAAGCAGATCCCTACAGATGAAATCCAAATCAAGGAAGAGAACAAATATTAAAAACTACATTTTTAACATTAAAAAATAATTTCCTGAAATAAAGCATGAATATACATAATGAAAAGACACCCCATATGCAGAGAGAAAGGACTCAAAATGTTCATTTTGAGCCTTAATAAAATTTCTTAATAAACATTTCTTAATAAAATTATTAGGCTAAAACCCATAGGAAATCAAGATAAAAATATCAAGTTACCCGTGAGAAAAAGGAAATTCAGTTGTCATTAGACTTCTCCACTAAATTCAGTTCCCCAAATAGTGAGGTTAGTCTCTCCAGTATACTTGTGGGAAAATAAATGATAGAATCAAAGAATTAAAAAAATTTTTTTTAATGTATATTTATTTTTGAGAGAAGCAGAGTGCAAGTCGGGAGTGGCAGAGGGAGAGAGGGACAGAGGGAGAGAAAGAGAAGCCGAAGCAGGCTCCAGGCTCCAAGCTCTCAGCACAGAGCCCCACAGGGGGCCAGAACCCACAAGTTGCGTGATCATGGAGCTGCAAGATCATGACCCAAGGCAAAAAAACGGACGTTTAACCAACTGAGCCACCCAGGTGCCTCCAGAGTCACCCAGGGGCCCCCAGAGTCAAAGATTTTATATGCAGCCAAGCTGTCCTTCAAGTATAAAGGATATAAAAAGTTTTATGCTGCATGAACTTAGGGAATATTGTTCCCAGGAGTGCTTTCTAAATTACTGGAGGACATATTCGGCGTTACTGCCGAACACATTTAAACACTGTACGTACTCTTGCTGTCTTTCTGCTCTGGGGAAAGCTGTATGACATGTCACAAGGACACTATAGCAGCCTTACAGAGGTCCACATGGAGAGGAACTGAGGTCTTTTGCCAATAGCCAAGTGAGGGAATCATCTTAGAAAGTGATCCTCCAGCCTCAGTCATACTTTCAGATGACTGTGGCCTGGCCAAGAGTTTGGCTGCAACTTTGTGAGACACTAAGCCAGAGACTCTCTACGCTAAGCCACTCCTAAATTCCTGATCTGCAAAAGTGGTGTTAAGATAATACAGTTTTATTGATTTTTAGGGTAGTATGTTTTACAGTAATAACTAATATAGGGATAAAACTTACAAAATGGAAAAGAGACAAGTTCACTGATTGCCTCATTTATAATAACTGAGAGAGAAAGGATATCATTTAAAGCAGCCAAGTCATTAGTAGAAATACAGAAATATTAAAGAATAAAAACATGAAGTCAGAGAGAGTAAAATGTCAACTACATTTCAACTTACAAGTAAAAATTAGGAAATTAAAAGTTAGATTTAAAATGACAGTTTTTGGGGCACCTGGGTGGCTCAGTCGGTTGAGCGTCTGACTTCGGCTCAGGCCATGATCTTATTGCTCATGGGTTCAAACCCCGCATCGGACTCTGTGCTGACAGCTCAGAGCCTAGAGCCTGCCTTGGATTCTGTCTCCCTCTCTCTCTGCCTCTCACCCACTCATGCTCTCTCTCCTTCAAAAATAAATAAATACACATTAAAAAAAATTTTTTTAAATAACAGCTTTTACAATAGCAACAAAATTTTCAAATACTTATAAATTTAACAAAATAAGTACAAGGCCTCTGCATCAATTACTACAAACAATAGAGTGAAATTGCAGGACATCTAAATGAATGGAGGAATTTATCACATTTATGAGATGAAAGGCTGATTATTTTCAAGATGTCAGTTTATCTGCAATATAATGGTATAAAAAGGTTAAAAGTAAAAGGATGGCAAAAGATATACCATGGAAATCATAATCAAAAGGATGCTAGAGTGGTTACATTAATATGAGACAAGGTAGATTTCAGAGCAGAGATTATCAGGGAAGAAAGATAGACTTTTCAACAAATGATGCCAAGTCAATTGAATATCTATAAGGGGGAAATGAATTGATCTTTACCTTACAACATACACAAAAATCAATTCTGGAAGGTTTGTACACCTAAATGTGAAAGATATTAATATAGAAGATACAAATATTTTCATGCCTCTGGGATAGGCAAAGATTTCTTTTTTTTTTTTTTAATGTGTATTTTATTTTTGAGAGAGAGAGAGAGAGTGCCCGTGAGCAGGGGAGGGCAGAAACAGAAAGAGACACAGAATCTGAAGCAGGTTCCAGGCTCTGAGCTGTCAGCACAGAGCATGACGCAGGGCTCAAACTCAAACTGTGAGATCCTGACCTGAGCCGAAGTCAGACACTTAACCGACTGAGCCACCCAGGTGCCCCAGGAAAGATTTTTTAAATAGGGTACAGAGAGTACAAACCACAAAGGGAAAGATAATAAATAAAACTACAATTTACTTCTTGATTTGTATTTATTTATTTTTTAAATAAAACTACATTTTAAAAAGCAATTTCTGTTAATCAGAAAAGAACTAGTGAAAATCAAACCATGGATTAGAGGATATTTGCAATACAATGGCTGACAAAGGATTCACATCCAAGCTAAATAAAGAACTTGCACGAATCAACAATAAAAGGACAGACAACCTCCCCCAAATTTGAACAGTTCCCCAAAAGGAAAGGAAAAGGACATGAACAAGCATTCCCCAAGATATCCAAATAGTCCATGGACATTAAAACAAAAGCATTCAACTTCATTAGTCTAAGAAAACCACACTGCAATGCCAGTATATAGCCACCATACTGACAAAAATTTTATAGTCTGACAATACTATGTGTTAATGAGAAAGGGGAGCAGTTGGAACTTGCACACGCTGTTGATGAGTTCAGTTATTTAGGAAAACTGAGATTATCTGCTTAAATAGATTCGCTTACACTATGACCCAGCAATTTTTCTCCTAGAAATAGACTCAAAAGAATGGATACATAGGAACCCAAAATGACAAGTGTAAGAATGCTCCTAGCATCATTATTCATGAAACAAAACATATGTGCATCAATACTATGACAGTTATTGAACAGACAAATACAGTTGGTGTATTCATGCACTGGAACATGCACCTAGCAAGGTGAACACACAATATGGATGAATCTCACAGACAAAATGTTGAACAAAGGAAGCCAACAAAAAAGGTTACATACTGTATGATTCTACATATGTGTAAGTTAAAAAACAGACAATATATGGTGGTTACTTTGGGGAGCTCCTGACTGAACAGAAGCACAAGCGAGATTTCTGGGGTGCAGGTAATGTTTTACTTCTTTATCTGAGCTTTTATTTTATGGGTGTTCCCTTTGTGGTAATTCACTTAAGCTGTACAGTTTTGCTTGTATTATCATGTATACACTTGACTATATATGATAAACTCGAATAAAAAGTTCATTTTACAGGGGCACCTGGGTGGCTCAGTCAGTTAAGCATCCAGCTTCGGCTCAGGTCATGATCTCGCAGTTTGTGAATTTGAGTCCTGCACTGGGCTCTGTGCTGACAGCTCAGAGCCTGGAGCCTGCTTCAGATTCTCCCTCTCTCTCTGTCCTCCCATGCTCATGTGCACTCTCAAAAATAAATAAACATTAAAAAAAAATTTTTTTTAAGTTCATTGTACAAATTATGGAGAAATACAGAAAAGGCAAATGCAAATAAAAAATAATAAGCAGGGGCCATGATCTTGGGCATTCTAAAATACAAAAGCCTAAAATTCATGATAAAAATAAATATGAATATCTCATATATCAACTCACAGAAGCAACTTAAAGCAGAAGTTACAGGTTATATAAGATAAAATTTCATTCATAGAGTATTTTAATACATTTTAATCAATCAAAGACAAATAAAGTGGAAAACAAGTAAGTAACTACAGACTGGCCATATATTAGATCACAAGGAAAAGTTCATTAAATTCCAAAGTTAAAAAATAGCACAGTGCAAGGGTGCCTGGGTGGCTCAGTTGGTTAAGCATCTAGTTCTTGATTTCAGTTCAGGTCATGATCTCACAATGGTGAGATTCAGCCCACATCGGGCTTCAAGCTGAGTGTGGGGCCTGCTTAGGATTCTCTCCCTCTTTTTCTGCCCCTCTCCTGCTCACTTGCTCTCTCCTTCAAAATAAATATTTTTTAAAAACTTAAAAGAAATCACAATGCAGCAAAACTGGAAATTACATGTGAAGAGAGGGCCTATGTGCTTTACCTGAATTCCTCAACTTTATCAATAGGGACTGAGTTCCCTTCATGTCATAGGGCTCAAGACTCCTCCACAGTACTAAAGGCTAAGACGCTATACCATTATATGAGTTTTCTGAGTAACAAATTATCATAAACATGGTGGCTTAAAACAATACAAATTTATTATCTCACAGTTAGTTAGGCATGGTTAGTTAGGCATGTCCAAGTCAGACATGGTTCTCACCGGGCTAAAATTAAGGTGTCAGCAGGGCTGTGTTCCTTTCTGGAGGCTCTAAGGGAGAATTATTTATTTCCTTATGTTTTCCAGATTCTAGACGCCACTGGCATTGGCTCCCTGCCTTTAGTCAGCAATTTCGCATATCTCTGACCATTCTTCTTTTATCATATCTCCCTCTGATCCGAAAGGTTTACTGACTTTAAGAATCCATTTGATTAGATTGGGCCTAATTGGATAACTTAGGATAACTCCCTCATTTCAAGGTTCTTAACTTAATTTCGTTGCCTTGTAAAGCAAAATATTCACAGGTTCCAGGGATTATACCCTATGCAGGGGCATTACTCTGCCTACCCCAACCATCTTTAAAGCTTCTATCTTTGGCTCCCCTCTTTCTGAGGGATACTCAAAAATCCACCTCTTTCTACCCCATCACTTCCTGTCCAACAGTCTTGAATCCAAGCAGAATATCAGCACCAATATCCCCTGTGTCCATGTTGTCCCTGTGTCCATCATAAGAAGCCCTAGATTCCCTGATAATCTCTCTTTTCAGACAGTGCACTCCCCACTGGCTGAATATCCCCTCTTCCCATCCCTCTCTAACTCTTGACACTTTCTAGTAGCTCTCTGGAATTCATAATTCATTAATAACAAACTAACTCCTCTTTTATCTCCAACCACTTTGAATATTCCCTTCACCTTTGGGTCTAAGGGAACCTGGCTCTCCACAGAGGACTCTGAAGGCTTTCAACATCCCCGTGGGCGCCCCCCCCCCCAGACTCTTGCCACTGGGTATGGAAGCAGGGCAGGTATCCTCCTTGCTTTTATTACTTTCAGACATTTCTCCCTCCTCCAGAAAATCTCCAAGTTGGAATTTCACGCCTTGCGATTACATGTAACTCACCACATCTCAGGATATTTCCCCTTGTTTTTTGAAAACGTGAGCTCATGGCTCATTCTCTGCAACACTACAGTACCCAGCTTTATTCTTGGGCTTGGCTCACTCATTCTTGCCCTTAAAACTTTTTCCCTCCCTCGTGGCTCATTACCACCAGCATACTGAGGCGTTATTTCCCCGTCTCTGCCCCCATCAGCTGCTGCTCCATTTGCCTGCTCATATTTACAGAGAAACTCTTGGAATGTGTTCTCTACACTGTCTCCTATTACTTTCCCCTCATTCTATACTAACCTACCCAATCCACCTAACGGCCACCACAGAAACTGCTCTCCACACATTTACGAATGACTGTTACTAAACACAATAGTCTGTTTCTGGCTCCACCGCTGCTGTTACTACACTACACACATGGTCACGCACAGAGTGATGTAGTCACAATCATATACATGCACAGTCACACCTAAATACGTGTGTAAATACGTATTTAGTAAATACGTCATTACTATCACGTACAGCTCCCGTCACCATCGTGCCCATGCAAACGCACGCACACACACACACACACACACACACACACACACACCCCACCCCTACCGCTCCTGAGCGATTACCCATATCCCGATCTCGTACCAATTTCACACAGGCACCCACAGATCCCATCGAGATCGCTGGCGCGGAAGCGGACACACACAAATACAGCTCCCTACCGTCTGCCTTTCCAAACCCTCTTGCTAGCAAGGCCTGAGACTCCGAAAACATTAAGCCCTCACTGCACTCCTCAGGGTCATTCCGCTTCCGGATCTTAGACTTACCTGACCCTGCGGTCCCTTCAAAATGTTCCGCAGGGACTCGGGCGCAAGCCTTCCTATGGTCCTCAAAGGGCCAGTGTGCGGACAGGAAGCTGCTTCGGCTATGATGGACATTGGAAAATGCAGTCAGAGCATGGACAGCCTTTCAGAGATCTCACGATCTCAATTCACAGGCCTTGGCCCCGGGCCCACATCCTTTCCCTGGGCAAAAACCATCGCCTTCACAGTTGTTCACATCCGTGGCCAGGAGCTTCTATTAGTTCCAGGCCGCGTTTAGAATGCAAGACTCAACCCAGGCCTCCACGCTGCTTCCCCACAAATGGATGCTCCAGTCTGGAAACCTGGACAATAAACCAACGCGGCCTTTCACCGGAAGTAGCTTTGGACGCGATGGCCCCTGGGAAACGTAGTTCAGCGCTCAGAGGAAGGATGTAATTCTTTGCAGGTTGAGTTCTTTATCTGGGCATCCGATAGACATGGTGTGACAGAATGGTCCGGTGACCAGCGAGTCCTTACTATCTCCGTTTGAGCATTGGCCAGGTGTGGTGGATATCTCTTATCCCACAAGGCTCGACCTGGGGGTAGGATGAAGGGGCCCGGCCCCAGGAGGGTCCCCTATCTGCGAAGTCATGGGAGCTGCTTCTTTAATGAGGTGTAGTATCCCTTACATCCTCAAATACCTTATTCCCATCCTCCAGTTACCTTTAGAGAGTTTGGTTTAAATTAATACTCAAGCTTACATTAGTATTTTGTAAATGTTGTTCATGTCTTAGCCTTTTTTTCCCCCTGAAGTTAATACTTGCTGGCTTTTAAAATTTGCTTCCCTTTCTCTGTGCTCGTTATGTAGATGGACAGTATGTCTAAACTTTCTGATGGAGTGACTTTTTTCAGTACTCTCAAATTCAACCTTTAAAAACAATTGCCTTTAAAATATTTTTATTGTGAAATAGGAAAGACCTGAAGACAACTGCATAGAATGTGTATGTTCAGTGTAACTCAATAGTAATGAAGAGTATATTTGGTATCTCAAGAAGAAACAGCCTATGCATATAATATTTCTGATCCCCAGGCCCCAGCTGATCACTAACTATCCTGCCTGGCTGGTGGGGTAATAATATTGTGAAGGCTACTTTTGGGCAATTAACTTTAAAAATGGAAACCTGAGTAAGGTAGAAGGGCCCATAGTAACCCCCTGGCAGAATATAAACATGCTCTTTAGGTGACCCACCTCAAAATATCCATAAGCCCCAGCTGACCAATGGGTTACTTACACCAGGACACAGGGACCATAAAAGGAAAATTAAGGGGTGGGAAGCCATAGTTAGTTACCACACCTCCTCACTTTCCCTCTTTAATTAACTACAGCTTCCCACCCCTGCCGCACTGCAGACAGTCTCTGCTTTGCCTTTGTGCCCACTGCTTTCTTGCGGTATATTCGATAAACTTCTATCTCCTTTGTTCTGCCTTGGATGAATTCTTTCACCATCCCCATTGTCAGCTTCTACCAGATCTTGTCACCCCACATTTGGTGGCTCCCATCGAATCAGGGGACCCCACAAATATCTTGGCTTGTCAGTTATCTATCTTTAAAATTTACATAAGCACATATCAAATTGTATGAATTTATCTTGCTTAGTTCTTAAAATCCTAACTGAATTAACTCAAAACTCTACACTAAAGACTTTGCAGAAGAAAATGTATGCCCACTCAGGGTGAAAATTATTTTCCTCATTACTGTTGTGTCATGGGACCCCAAGATCAACACTCTGTCCAAGGTTGAACGATTCACTAGAGGAACTCACAGTGAAACAATACAAAGGGAAATTAGCAGAGAAAAGGTGCATGGAACAAAGTCCAGGAAAAACCAGCACATGTTTCCAAGGATCCTTTCCAAGTGAAATCAAAGAGGACATTAATTTCCCCTGCAACAAGTTTTGACAACACATGTGAAATGTTACCAACCAGGGAAGTTCACTAGAGACTCAGTACCTAGAGTTTTTGTTGTGTGCTGGTCACATAGGGAGCCTCTGCCAGGCACATACTAGAATTTCAGAAGGAAAAGCAGATATTTAACAAATTATATGATTTACACAAACAGGCATAGTGAGCCATTTTTGTCAAATAGGATAGTGTGAATCCCCTCTGGAAATCTAAGTTCTAGGTGCAAGCCAAGGGCCAACTGTGCAAGCAGACATTTCCAGGGATAAGAATTCTCAGGTCTGCTATGCTAAGACTTTTCTGCACACCAGTGTCCTAAACAAAATGTCTGGCTTTCAAAACAACAAAAATTAAAAGGCATATGAAAATACAAGGAAAAAAAAAATCAAGATATTCCCAAGAGATTAAAAAAAAAAATCCTAACTAGACTCAGGTATCCTTAGCTTGTTGCCGTGTAACTTCAATCTATACTCTGTCTTCACATGGCCTTCTCTTGTATGTCTTTTCATCTTCTATTATAAAGACACTTGTCATTGGATTTAGGTCACACCTAGATTATCTAGAATGAATGCACCTAGAGATTCTTAATTATGCCTGAAAAGAAAATTACTTTTACTAAGTAAGGTCACATTCACATGTCTCGGGGTTAGGATATGGACATATCTCTGGGGGCCACAATTTAACCCACTGCAATCTGTTACTATGTTTATTCTTACCCTAATAGATTTCCTTAGAATTCTCATCCTCCCACTATTATTTTTTTTAATTTATTTTTGAGAGAGAGTGCGCACATGCACATACGTATGAGTGGGGAAGGCAGAGACAGAGGGAGACAGAGCATCTGAAGCTGGCTCTGCACTGACAGCAGAGAGTCCGATGTTGGGGCTCGCACTCATGAACCATGAGATCATGACCTGAGCCGATATCAGGAGTCAGAGGTTTAACAGACTGAGCCACCCAGGCGCCCCTCATCCTCTTACTGTTATAAATGACATCTAGATACTGACAACAAATAAATGTTTCTCTTTAACATGGACTGTCTCAGTGGTTTAGGAGAGCAAAGACAAAATTCTTCATCTACCCCTTAAAATGTGCTCATTCCATAGTTTTATTTCAGTAAATAACAATTCTGGTTTTCAGTTACTCAAGCTGAAATACTCGCATGAGCCTAGCTTCTTATCTTTCATTTCCAACATCAAATCTGTTACCTGATTCTTTCAGCTCTATCTTCAAAATATATCTGAAATCCAACTCCTCTCATGACTACCAGTGCAATCACCCAAGACCAAGTTACCATCATCTCTTACCTGGATTATTCCAACAGCTCATTAGCTAGTTTCCCTGCTTCCTTTTTTTTTTTTTTTTTTTTTTGGTTCCCCTACACTGTATTCTCTAATCAGCACCCTGGTCTCTCTGTTTTTAAAGTTTTAGCTATTTAAGTAATCTCTATACCCCATGTGGGGCTTGAACTCACTACCCCAAGATCAAGAGTTGCACAGTTTTCTGACTGAATCAGCCATGCACCGAGTGATCTCTTTTATTTTATTTTTATTTTTTAAGCTTATCAATTTATTTTGAGAGAGAGCTCAGGAGGGGCAGAGAGAGAAGGAGAGAGAGAGAATCCCAAGTAGGCTGCTCATTGTCAGTGAAGAGCCTGATGCGAGACTTGAACTCATGAACCATGAGATCATCACCTGAGCCAAAATTAAGAGTCAGACACTTAATGACTGAGCCACCCTGGTACCCCCACCCCCACCCCCAAGTGATCTCTTTTAAATGCAAGTCAGATCATGTCACTCCTCTGTGCAGAACCAACATTGCCTTCACATCTCACTGAGAAAAATAAGCAAAGTTCTTACAATGCTCTCTAAGACCTTCCATAATTGGTCCCCTCATTAGCTCCTTCTTCTCATCTACTATTCTTCACTTTGTCACTGTGACCAACTTGCTGCTTTTGAATATACCAGGCTTGTAGCCAACCTATGGCATTTCTATTTTGGTGTTTTCTCTGTTTATAATTCACTTTGTCTAAATACCTTTAAATGCCACTGCTTCTTCTTTTTGGTTTTGCTCAAATATTTTCTTTTTAGGCTTCTCCTAACTATTCTATTTAATAGGACAATTCCCAGGGTTCCTGACTGGCTCAGTCAAAAGAGCACACAACTCTTGATCTTCGGGTTGTGAGTTTGAGCCCTGCATTGGGTGTAGAGATTACCTAAATAAATAAAACTTAAAAAAAAAAAAAAAAACACAGGGGCACCTGGGTGGCTCAGTTGGTTAGGCGACCAGCTTCGGCTCAGGTCATGATCTCACAGTTTGGGAGTTTGAGCCCTGCGTTGGGCTCTGTGCTGATAGCTCGGAGCCTGGAGCCTACTTCAGATTCTGTGTCTCTCCCTCTCTCTCCCTCTCCCCTGCTCATGCTCTATGTCTCTGTGTCTCTCAATAATAAATAAATGTTAAAAAAAATTTTAAAAAAACATAAAATTGCAATTCCCTTGGCACTTGCTATCCCATTTCCAAGCTTTATTTTTCTCTTTAGAGCTTATTCTTATCTGGAATACTATATATTTCATTTGCATGTTCATTGACCACTTTCCCTGACTAGAATATAAACTCCTTGAGGAAAGGAAATTTTGGCCATTTTTTTTCACTGATGCTTTCCTAGAATATAACCTGGCACATATAAAGGCTCAATAGGTCAATTGAGCTGTTAAATCAAAAATACAGTGTTTGACAAGAACAGGAAACATGAACTTTCATAAGTTTTTTGGTGGGAATGGAAAGTGATTCATCTCATGTGGATTGCAAATATTTATACAATGCCTCTGACCCAGCACTTCTTAGAGGAATTTATTACAAAGATGCTTGCACATCTGTGCAAAGCTGAATATATAAAGATATTCATTCTAGAATTGTAGAAACCTGAAAACATCCTAAAAATTCACAAATATGGTATGAAAGTATGACATTTCCCCCACCACAAAATACTATGCCACCGTAAGAACAAGGAATATGTATTAATATGGGATGTCTCCTAAGAAATAATAGTAAAAAATAAA